CTATGAATATATATATATGTGTGTGAGTATGCATGTTTCAAATGAAATATATGTATGTATGTATATATAAAAATGTATAAATATGTAGATATATATATAGATGTATATATTTATATTTTTATATTTATATATATAAATATATATATATATACATATACAAATAAAAACATATATATATATCTATATTTACACTTAACACAGTGTATGTACATACATATGTATATACATATATTCATTTATATGTATATATATAAATTGATACATTTATACAAATATATAAAAATTTGTATATATTTATATATATATATATTTATATATGTATATGCCTAATATAGGTTTTGTTATATGTATATATATATTTATATATTTATATACATATATACGAATATATACATGTGTGTGTGTAAGTACATGTTTCATTAAGTAAGAATATATATATTATATGTTTATATACGCATATATGTATATATATATATTTCCATTTTTATAATTATAAATATATATAAATATGTGTATATATATATATATATATACATATGTATATATATATATATATATATAGAAATAAACATGCGTATGTATATGTATCATGTTTGGACTCAATTTGGTCAGCAAATCTATTTCTTAGATAGGAATGAATATTGATGCCAGAATATTCTTGTGTTCTGGTTCACTTTTCGATATTGACATCAGCTTACTATAATATAGTGTTTCTTCGGGACTATGGATTGAAGACCACAACTGATGCTGCACAAACAATGATTAAAAACATTCCCATATACTTATGATTAATTATGACTATTTTGGTTTCTCCGATATAAATTGGGAGCGTATCTGACGCAATTTTCACTCTTCTGCGTTGCTCCATCGAATTTGTGTTCAGAATACATAACTAAAAGACATAGGACACTTGTGCATATCTATAATTCACAGGTTTCCCTGTATCTGCACACACTTTGTATATATGTTTTTATATGGCGTAGTTTAAATAAGGCGACCTGGTCTGTCGGTCGGATACTCTAGCAAACAACGCTCTAAAGTCATTATAGATATATTTATACAAATTGCATAATCCCCGTGGTCACTTTCTTCTAAATCGCAAACCTAATCCAATAATTCGTTCATTTGTAATGCTTAGGCTTCATTTCGCGAGCAGTTTGTCGGTCCGTACTATTGGATCGACATCTGCCAGAGTGAAGAAATACACTTGTGAATGGCCCAACTGTGGTCAGATATGTACCACTCGGGCTAATATGAAGGTGCATATGCGCGTGCACACGGGCGAACGTCCCTATGCGTGCGACTAACCTGGGTGCGGTATTGCGCTTACGGGAAGTAGTGGACTGATAAGACACAAACGCGTGCACACGGGCGAACGTCCTTATGCGTGAGACTATCCTGGGTGTGGTATGGCGTTTAAGGAAAGTGGGAATTTGCACAGACACTATTGCGTGCACACGGGCGAACGCCCCTATGCCTGTGACTATCCTGGGTGTGGAAGGGAGTTTAAGCAAAAAAGTATTTTGAAAAAATACAAGCGCATTCATGCGGGCTAACGTCCCTATGCGTGAGACTATCCTGGGTGTGGTATGGAGCTTGCTCGACGTGATTATTTGAAAAGACACAAACGCGTGCACACGGGCGAACGTCCCTATCCGTGAGACTGTCCTGGGTGTGGCATGGTGTTTTCTCGACGTGGTCATTTGAAAGCACAAAAGCGTGTACTCGGGCGAACGTCCCTGTGGATGTGAAAAGGTGCTAAGTTCGAACGATCTGATCATCTACGCCACGATACACGCGTTCACAATGGCAAACACGGCTCAACCAGTTTAATACAAGGCGCTGCACAGGTGGGGCTAGTCAATAAATACACGCGACTACGTTTGTCGCCATCACACGTTCATTCAAAAGGTATTTATGTATATACCTTCCATTGTAGCAATGCACGCTGTTGGTGTCTAAACTCGAGCCATGAATTCGTCTACTAATAAACGAACTAAGCTGTGCTTCAATTGTTGGAATGCGAGCTTGAACACCTGCAGGCGAACTATGGGCTCAACTGAGTGTGTTGCATAGTCTATATGTAGAGGCTGCAATGAGACACGATACTGTTGTTAATGAGGTGTTTCTTGTCTCTAAATGCGCTATTATTTTGGCCAGAAAAGTATTTAGGTTATTTCACAGATTAAAATTATTTTGGTTAGGTTTGACCGTGCTCAACCACTTCATACTGATATACCAATAGTCACTGTGCTCAACCACTTCATATAGCTACACCAATAGTCGCTGTGCTCAACCACTTCATATAGCTACACCAATAGTCACTGCGCTCAACCACTTCATATAGCTACACCAATAGTCACTGTGCTCAACCACTTCATATAGTTACGCCAATAGTCGCTGTGCTCAACCACTTCGTATTAAGCAATATAGCTACAGCAATAGTCATTTTACTTGTCTTGACAATAAAGCTAATCACACGATCAAATAAATCAGTTTACAAGCAAGCGGCCTTCGAAGTCTGTGTCGGTATAGTGCGAGGATTTCCACCAATCATCAAAACAAAGACGCATTCCTTTTACATGTGCGTGATATTCACCTCATAACTGCCATCTTGACGCGATCCCTGACATA